GCACCACATCTATAATCTATAATATATTAAATATCATATCAAATGAAAATTATTTTTTGAACGATTATATCCTTACTACAATTCAATTATTTCAATAATACTTGACTTTTCGTTTTTCAATAAATATTTAATTTACAAATTATGTGCCTGTTTGGAGCTGCTTTGTAAAAGGTTGGAAATTGATTTTCCAACCGTTGAGCACAAATTTCTAAAAACCATGTGAGTGCAAGTCAAAATTGGCTGCCAGGTGGGGCCCCTTCAATGGTTGGAATCCTGCTTAAAAGTGAATTTTAATTGAAAACAAAAAGGCACTATAATAAATACTAAAAAATCATTGTTCATGCATATATTCATTGTAATTAATTGATTACTTCTCAGTTAATTAACATTCACGTTTATTTAATTTGTAATAATTGGAATTTCACATTGACATTCACGTCCATGTTCCTATTATTAATTCTCAATTAATTAACATTCACATTCATTTAAATAATTTTAATTAGAATTTTACATTAACATTCACGTTCACGTTCACGTTCATATTCATGTTCATGATCCTGTTATTGATTCTTGATTAATTAATATTCACATTCATTTAATTAATATTAATTAGAATTTCACATTCAAGAATAAAATTCGTTATTCACACCAATGTATTCTAATGAGAATCATTTTCACTTAATTGAAAATTAAATTTTATTCATTTAATATAAATAATTTAACATTCATTGTCACGTATATATTCATTTGCATTAATTTTAAATTAATTAACATTCACGTTAATTTATATATTTTATTTGTCATTCATCTTCATTTTACGTTTAATTGTAATTCTAATACTCATGTTCAAGTATGTATATCACTATTTACCTGCATGCATAATAATTAACATTTATTTTTAAGGGCTTACATTTTTCTCATATTTAAATCAAAATGATAAATGAAGGGTCAAATATTACTTTCACAGCATTTGTAAAATATTTCAAAATAACGTGCAATGCACGTTTAACTCTGACTAGTTCATTCAAAAGACAAGGAAGGAGGCCTATTTATTTGCACGACATCTTTAGATTTAACCCTATTTACACTTGAAACCATTCCCCTAATGGTCTTGCCACCTAATTAAAAACCATAAATTCGTTCGCATTCATATTAATGAGCTACGGTTGTGCTACGTATATATAATAATTTATATATATATATATATATGTATAATTAAGTTGTATATAATGAAATTACATAATAGTCTATATACGAATGAGGTGTCAAGAAGATAGGAGAATTTATTCTAATATAATCACATCTCACTACATCATATATATATCTTCTATATATTAAAAGTGGTTATGTAACGGAATTTCTTATTTTTAACGGAAAAACTAACGAAATTTGTTGTTTTAACGGACTGTGTAACAGAATTTCTTATTTTAAACAGGCAGCTGCACCTTCTTTCAGTGTTTTTATCATAACTTTGTATTCCGATATCCGATTGAGGCGATTCAAAATGTGTTAGAAAACTAACTCATCTGACTANTTCTTTCAGTGTTTTTATCATAACACTGTATTCCGATATATGATTGAGGCGATTCAAAATGCGTTGAAAAGCTAACTCATCTGGCTACAACTTTGATTCAAACATTATTATCCAATTCGATCACTTTCTATGTCAAAAATAGGTCTCAATATGAGACTAAAAGTATAACTTTTCGGTTTGAAATTTATTTGTGATCATCTTTTGACTAAATTTGATTCCACTGATGTCTTCCTTTATCCAATTGACTCAGAGCATTCTCAAGTCTTCATTGTGAGGTTCGACACAACTTTTAAGTATTTACATTTTAGTCCCCGAACTTTGGATCCCTTACACTTTAGCACTTTCTCCAAATTTGTCAACTTTTGCTTATTTTTTTCGATCTCACCAACTTACATCACA